CCATTGATGTTGTGGGATAGTAATGACCATTGATTGCTCATTCTTCTTCGAATGGTTGTTGGTGGTGGAATTGTGTGTAAAATTTCACCCCTTTGCTCTTTTGGCTGTTGGTAGAGAGGGCTTCTCTATTGCCTATGTTTTTCTGGTTGTAGTTAACTTCCTTGTGTTGGAGTTTTCCTTCCAAAATTTTCTGTAGGGCTTGGTTAGTGGATATGTATTTCTTGAATCTAGTTTTGTTATAAAATATCTTGTTTTCTCTATCTATAGTGATTGAGAGCTTTGCCGGGTATAGTAGTCTGGGTTGGCATCCATGGTCTCTTACTGTTGGTAAAATATCTATCCAGGACATTCTGGGTTTCAGAGTTTCCATGGAGAATTCAGGTGTACTTCTGATAGGTTTGCCTTTATATGTTACTTGGCCTTTTTCCTTACTTGGTCTTAATATTCTTTCTTTATTCTGTATATTTGGGGTCTTGATTATCATGTGGCAAGGAGACTTTTTTTGTGGTCCACTCTATTTGGTGTTATGTAAGCTTCTTGTACCTTCATTGGCATGTCTTTCTTAAGGTTGGGAAAGTTTTCTTCTATGATTTTGTTGAATAGGTTTTCTGCCCCTTTGAGGTGGTTTTCTTCACCTTCTATACCTATTATTCTTAGGTTTGGACTCTACATGGTGTCCCATATTTCCTGGATGTTTTATGTTTAGCATTTGTTGGACTTAAGATTTTCTTTGGTTGATGAGTCCATTTCTCCTAGTGTATCTTCAACACCTGAGATTCTCTTTTCCATCTCTTGTATTCTGTGGGTAATGCTTGTATTGGTATTACCTGATCATTTGCCCAGCTTTTCTCTTTCCCACCTTTCTTCAGATTGTGTTTTTTATTGTCTCTATTTCAGTTTTCAACCCTTACACTGTTTGCTTTGATTCTTGCAATTTTTGGTTTATCTTTTCATCCATTTGTTGCATTTTATGAATTTTTTGGTTTGTTCTTTCTTCCATTTCTTGCATTTTGTGGTTTGCTTTTTCTTCCATTTCTTGCATTTTGTGGTTTGCTTTTTCTTCCATTTCTTGCATTTTGTGGTTTGCTTTTTCTTCCATTTCTGCATTTTTACTGTGTTTTTTTCTTCCATTTCCTGCCTTTTTTGGTTTGTTTTTTCTTCCATTTCTTTGAGGGATTTTCCTATATCCTATTTTAGGGCCTCTATCATTTTCATGAAGGTGGTTTTAAGGTCATTATCTTCTGCTTCATTTTTATTGGAATGTTGGAGTCTTGCTGGTGTGGAGTCTCTAGAATCTGGTGGTGTCAAATGTTTTTTCTGTTGCTGAGTGTGTTTTTGTATTGTCTCTTTCACATCTCTTTTTCTAGTGGGTGCAGAAAGAGCCCCTTACTGTTCTGGTGGTTAGGGCACCAAAGTTCCCTTTCAGTGGGTGCTAGAAAGTCCAATAATCTGTTAGTTCTTCTTTTCCTCATGCTTGTTCTGGTTCCATGGGTGGAGAAGAAGACCAGGAATCTATGGTGCTTGGCTCCCACTGGGATTGGAAGCTCTGTGCAATTCCCAGGCAATCCCCAGGCACTGGAAAGCAGGCCGGGATGCAGGGCCTGTTCTACCTGGTCCAGCAGGACCAGCTGTTCCCAAGGTCTTCTTGGATCTGCTGGTTTCCTTTTCTTGTTGTTGGGAGAGAAGACTTGGAATCTGGGGTGCTTGGTTTCCACCAGGATTGGAAGTTCTGTGCAGTTCCCAGGCAATCCCCATGCACTGAAATACAGGCCAGGATGCCGGGCCTGTTTTACCTGGTCCCGCCAGAACAGCTGGTCCCCTGGTCTTCTGGATCTGCGGGTTTCCTGGTCCCATATGTCTTTCTTTAAATTGGGAATATTTCCTCCTGTGATTTTGTTGAATAGGTTTTTTCACCTTTGAGGTGGGTTTCTTCACCCTCTTGTATACCTATTATTCTTAGGTTTGGCCTTTTCACAGTGTCCCACATTTTCTGGTTACTTTGTGCTAGGGATTTGTTGGACACTGTTTTCTTTCATCAGTTAATTATTTCTCCTAGTATATCTTCAATGCCTGAGTTTCTCTCTTCCATCTCTTGCATTCTGTTGGTTGTTCTTGCATCTGTAGTTCCTGATCATTTACCCACCTTTTCTATTCCCAGCATTCCCTCAGTTTTTGTTGTCTTTATATTTTCTATTTCAGTTTTCAGATCTTGAACTGTTTGAATTGTTTCATTCATTGATTTAATTGATTTTTTCTTGGCTTTCTTTAAGAGATATGTTGATTTCTTATATTTTGTGGTTTATTTTTTCTTCCATTTCTTTAAAGGTTTTTCTCATATCCTTTTAAAGGGCCTCTATCATTTTCATGAAATTGTTTTTCACTTCATTCTCTTCTTCTTATCTGTGTTGGCATGTTCAGGTCTTGCTGGTATAGAGTCCCTAAAATCTGCTGGTGTCATATTTGTTTTTCTGTTGTTGAATGTGTTTTTCTATTGTCTTCTTCTCATCCCTTCTTTCAGTGGGTGCAGGTGGAGCCTCTTCCTATCCTGGTGGATATTGGTCCAAAGTTCTCTTCTGGTAGGTGCAAGCAGGTTCAATACTGTGATGGCTCTCTTTTTCTTGTGGCTGGATGCAGGAATAGAACTGAGATGTTGACAGACCCTTGATGGACTGTTACAGTGGTACAGGTTCCCATGTGCAGGCTCTAAGCCTTAGGAGGTCCTGAACAGGGCACTGGAAGTTGGACCAGAAACAAATCCATGCTTATCTCTTCCCACGGGTGTAGCTGTCAATCTCTGAATGGGCTGGTCTGCCAATATGGGTTACCCATTGCACAGTCTCCAGGCCACAGGGGGCTCCCAGCAGGGCACCAGAAGGCAGGCTTGGAAACAGAACCATCCTTACCTCTTCCCATGGTTGGAGACTGGACTAGAATGCTGGCAGACACTGGCTGGGCTGGTTTGCTGGAATGGATTCCCTAGTATGCAGTTACCAGGCCTCAAGAGGCTTTAAGCAGGGCACACACAAGCCAGGCTCCAAATATTTTATTGGAATATTAGGTAGTAGATTCCTAGAATCTCAGTAAGAAAATATCACATTGTTGGCACAAATGATAAACAGAGACAAATGCAATATGACAGAAGAAATAGAATGATACACATGAAGCTACAAATGCCCAAATGTCAAGCATGACAGGAAAACTTAATGAAACTGTTTTTCAAAAAGTTTTCAATTAGTTACATAAACAGGACTTGAACTGAAATTTTATATTTTGTCTTCAGAGACAAAGAATATTTTCCTCCCTATAAATAACCAGTTCTTCTAACTAATATTTATGCATGTGCATCATAAGACGTTCAACATGAAATTATCACAGAAGAGGAATATTTAAGATTTTGGCATTGATTTAAATTAATATTTCCAATCAGAAGCTTAGCCAAGATTTCTGTTTGTCATTTAGAATTCTGATACACATCAACCATTAATAAAATCAACTACTTTGCCTTACTATAGATGTCATCTATCTGCAGAGACACATAACTAACAACTGGGCCGAGCTTCTAGAATCCAGTTGCAGAGAGGGAGAGTGATAATATGTGCTAAGGCATCAAGACTAGGATGGAAAACCCACAGAAACTACTGACTCCAACTAGGTAGAGGTCACTGGCTCTGGACTGACAGATGGGGAACCTGAATAGGCTGAACTAGACTCCCTGAATGCAGGTGACAGTGGGTGGTTTGGACAGTGTGTGTCAGACACTGGCAGTGGGATCAATATCTATCCCTAATGCATGAACTGGCTTTTGGGAGCCCATTTCCTATATCAAGATACTTTTCTCAAGGACACAGGTGGCAGGGATTGTCCCTGCCTCAATGTGGTGACTGACTCTCCATGCAAACCTTACCTACTCTAAGTAGAAAAAGAAGGTGGGTGAGGGGAAAGTGTGGGACATGGGGGAAAATGAGAAGGGTGAAATTGTATTAATGTGTAAAAAAAGAAATAAAAGCTTTATTACCACAAAAAAGAATTTAATCTGTTTCTTATCCATATGGAGAGCATCTACATATAAAACCATTTAGTGCAATATCCCTTTGGCAGTTCATATCCTGCATGTAACAATCACAGTTTCTTCAGTGATAAACTGGAGAAGCAGAAGTCATTATTTAATTGTGTAGGCAATACTTATGTATCACATGATTCAGTTGTAAATAATAAAAATACATAAATATATGTTGCAGACAACATAATAGCTAATCAGAAGACTGTCATGAGTGGAGAATAACTCCTAGTTGTGTTTGTAAACATTACACAGCATGTGACTTTCTGCATTGATTCTGAGATCCTAATGGATTCAGAATTACGGTTGGTTCTTTATACAGCACATAGAGATCCAAAGACTTTTGTTCAACTAGCATGTACTTGGATGTATGGGATGTTCATAGTGCATGGTCTGTCTTTTCTTCTTTCGATATCAAATATGTGAAGATGGGACTCCGAATCATCAACAACCAATGACATATAATCGAAAAGATTTTATTAAACTATGTTATGCATGAGCTGTTTCTCAATTCCACTTCAAATTTGCTTTGGAATATCTAAATTAAGCCTACTCAACCATATCAAATGGGAATTAGAGAAAAGGTTTTGGGAACAGGTTTTGTTAGCAATTTTGGCTGAAAGGAGTCATGTCTGGGCCCTTTATGTCCACTGACATAGAAAGATGTATGAGAGATATAGAGAAGAATGACCATAAACAAAATTTCACATTGCCACTGTAACACAGGAACTCAGATGCAGAGCCCCAGGCCAGAAATTGTTTAATAATCCTCCAGAGTAGAACAACATGCTGAGAAGAAAAGTGTTGGCAGTCATAAGCACACTCCTTAGAAGATGCTGCAGTAATAAAATTACAGACAAGTGGGACCACACATGTAAAACTTTCCACCTGATTCTTCCTCCTTCACGTTGCTCAGCCTCACAGCTTTGGTGACATCATAAATATGTTATCTTTGACTTTTATCTCTTTGGTCCTTAGGCTTTCCTTCCTTTTTTGCAGTCCCACTGATCCTAAGTGCTTTTTGAGAATAAAAGACAAGGAAAACCAGGATGGAGATAAGGAACTTGATTGTTTCTTTTCCATTTATGCTGTGAGTGGACACATGAAGAATGAACACTTCAGTGGAAATCTAGACAAGCAGTAAGTAATTCATATACTTCCATTTGATTAATTATCATGATAAATAATGAGTACAATATCTGCTACTACTGTGTCTTCTGTCTGTTTTTCACTCTCTCACTGCACAGAACATGAGCAAAGTCTTTGTGTCTAACAGCTAATAATTTTAATGTTTTTACTGGTATCAGCTATTTATTTGTCTATCCTTCTCACATCATATTTTGTAGAATAGTAGCTTAGATAGATGAACTTTTTACCATTTTCGTAAATGATACCCTTTGTAGTGGCATTTCCCACTTCATGTTCTGTCATGATTTTCCTTAGAAACAAGCACTAAAACACAGCATTTTATATTTTTTAGAGCTGCAGTAAAGTATTATTTCTGTGGCTTGATTTTGTTTCATTTATCATCACAGAATACCCAGTACCTGAGCAAGAGTATAATAGTACATCCAACATGACTTATGGGTACCGATCTTTGGAACATACTTTGGTTTTTGTGCAAACACTCAACATGTCATACCTGTATTATTGTTCTGTTGTGTGACAGTTGTGTAACAGTTGTGTGATGTTGAGGATGAGAATAAAATTCCTGATTTATATTGAGAACTTTGTGTTTTATTTTCCTTTCCATTGTGTTTCATATACTGAGCAATATTTTTTCTGTTTAACAATGACAGGATTCAGAGTTCTAGGTCATAAGTTCATGGATCATCTTTTTAAGGTATTCCAGTAGAGCATTTGTTCACCTTTTAGGAGATGGGATGCCATTTCAAGCAGTGACCTCCTATCTCCTCTTTCACTTGTCATAATTAATGGTGTTGACTGTGATTTCTGCTCATATGTGAGATGGGTAAGAATGTTAAAAATTTGAAATTTTTCCATTATTAAAGAACGTTTACTTATTTCAAATTTTCAAGTATTATTTTCCTCATCTAATTTTCATCTATGTTACCTATTGCAAATTTTGTTCTCTTTTAAAAACTACCCTTAGTATACAAAATGTGTATTATGAGGATATGTATACATTGCAATATGATATTTACATATGAATTTTTATTTATTAATGAGTGATCTGAAGTATCTGACATTTGCAGTTGGGAAGAAAATTGTCATTGAAATTTATGTTGTAGACATTTTCTTATGATGACTCCTGGATATAGACCATTGTTATATGTGTAGTGTAGAGTATAGTGCACCTCATAGTTTGAGACATAGCTGTGTTTGATGAATGAAATTCAAAGTAGAGTAGGATAATGCAAAATGTAGAATAATGGTGAAAATATTCTCATAAACAAAAGCAATGATTAAGTGCATAAAATTATTTGATTGCTAGTGAACTTGTCAAAAGTATCATTTTAAACACAAGAAAATGAATAATTGGTGGGAAAGGATAACATCATATTGGTTAAATTAAAAAAATATACATTGTTAAATGTTATAATGAGGAGATGATTCATAAATTCAGACATAGATTAAAATGATCTAAGGAGAAATGCACCAGACAATATATCCTTCATCAAGAATGAAGCTTGCAACTGTGATTTCACTAAAGATCACATGACAACTTGAATATTATAGATAAAAATTATCTTCCAGGAGTCAAACTGATAAAATATTTAGTCCCTGCTTTCATACATGCTGTTATCAACTGATGGACTAAAGTACTTCAGCAATGTATATCTCTTGATAAGAGCACTGTAAATTTTATTTCTGTAAAACACAAAGTTGAAATTACAGGTACTTTCTCAGTTCAGGATCACAAAATTATGAAGCACAAAATAGGAGATGTACAAAGAAACAATTTTATTTCTACTAACTAAATAGAGCTATTTCTGTCTTTGCCTTTACACAAATACATCATAGCTAGGTCAATACTAATTGCAACAAAAGTTCTAATGCTACCATAAATGTCTCAAGCTTATGGGAATTGTGCTATAGTTCTTAAGATTTTATTTTGCTTCTTAATATAAATGTGCATTCATTTAATAGAGGGCTGTTTGTTTATCTCACTATTTATATTTCATAAAATATAAACTATGTTTCTAAAGTAATGATATTTGTGTTTATACATAATTCCTACACAGAAGAGTTTACTGTTCCTCAATTTAAGACTATTTTATCAGCCATATTTTTCTGGCATGATCATGAACATGTTAACATAGTTAATAAGGAAAATGAGTTTGTGAAGTAAAATCTCAGGATGTAAATCAATTTATATGGTGTTTTCTTTAATAGAATATAAATGGAAATATATGGTAAAGAAGGAATTTTTTACTTTCTAGAGGATAGCTATAATTAAATAAAATAAAGACATACTAATTGTAGCAAATAAAAGTATTTTGTGGAATAAATCATACTATGTACACATATACCTCCTCATGAGTTGCTTGTGACATATTTAATGATGTTTTATAGCTGTGCTGTAGAAACCTACTTGCTTTACATTAAAATTTTCTTCATTTGCTGTACATAAGCAAACTGTAAAATTTTGTGTTCAAAAGTTACTATATCTTGTTTGGAATGACAGTCATGATCCATCTTATTTTACAGTAAGACTGTCCATTAATGTCCCTTTAAGGGACCATCCACTTTACAGTTTTTACAATGTGACACAATATTTTAAAACGTTTAGGGTTATTTGGTTCTCTAGGGCTGAAAAGGTATTCATGTGATTCCTGTTTATCTAAAAAATTCTTGACTTTAAAAATTTCAGGACAGAAGGTCATGAATTTCAATGGAGAATAAAATGCCATCATAGTTCATCATATTCAACTATCAAGCATCATATGATTTTAGTGCTCATGGATAAGTAGACATATCCCAGGTCTAGTCCTTGCTTTGCTGTAAGCTATGCATGACCTCTGAAATGTATTCAGTGAGAAATTATAGTCTTAAAATAAACTTGTTCTCCATGCATTTGCTTCTATCTTTAACTGTATAATAAAGTATCATTAGATGCCTTTTGTCAGAAATATTAAGTGTTTTCCCAATTTTTCAACATGTAACTATGCTTCTGAATTTAGGGATTATTTCTTGGTATCTGATTTAACAAACTAGATTTTATATAGCAAAATCTTCTGATGCCCTCCTTCAAATAAATTATGCTTGGTGAAAATAACCAGGTTGTGAGAAGGCTTGCATTAAAACATACAAGGTACAGCAAGGATGGAAGTGTTTTAAATTCAGAAAAACTACAGAAGCAAACTGTAATATTGGTAGCATAAGAGCAAAAACTTCAGATTAACTTATAAGGCCCTGCATAATTGTAGGTATGATAGATCTAAACTAAGCATGAGGTGTGATGTAACCTGTGAAAACCTGAAAATAAACAAGAATGCTATTTTCATCTACTGGTAGGTACTGTCCTTTAGAAAAATTGAGACTCATCTCCATCTTATAAGCACCTTATAAATAGACTGAGACAAATATGCTTTCATTTTGTATTTAAGCCTTTGACACTACTTAATCATAATTTATTTAGCTAAGCAAAGGAATCATTTTTGTGGCTTTAGTTGTATGTTTAAATATAAAATTTTATTGGTGGAAGAAAGTCCACATTATGTATATTACCTTTGGATTTCCATTATTGCTATAATTTTGATATGAGATCTGCTCAAATGCTCACACACTTACCGGGAATTCAAGTTGGCACAGTCTGTGTGTGCTACACTTACAAAGAGTTTGCAATTATTGACAATGTGTACCTTGTATGGAAACTTTCCTATACCAATTTCACAGTACTTTTTCTTCTGATTATCATAGACAGGATACAAATGATTTTCTGCAATTCCTCCCTTTCATGTGGATACATAGCATAAGAAAATGTATGAACAGAATCAATAAAACTCTTTTATAATGAATAAAATTTCAGAATTTTTGAGAATAACTCTACCCATTATGTACTGAAGCTATTGCCTGGGTTGAATTTTTGTTACTACTTTAAGAAGCTGTCACAACAGGTTTTGTACATATTAACTACCTCCACCAACTTTTCCTAAATACATTTCCTCATTCATAACTAACCAACCATATGTCTCTTTCAAGAAAAAATTTCTGCTTTCCAGATATTCTTGCTTGTGTCATCTTCCAATAGAAAATGGTCAAGTTACCTTGGGCTGTACTCTTAAATAAAACACTATAAGTGCCTCTTCATAACACCCATGTATTGATCAAATGAATGAATTTTGTGTTCAACTTCCTTCTTTATGCAGGCATATAGTCTGCCTCATACTTCCATAGATTTTTAAGCAAGTTGTCAATGCCAGCATAAATTCATATGTGCATCTTCACTGCAGTGGCCAGAAATAATGTTTTCTTATTCTTATCTATCTCATTGGATGCTGAAACGAATTCTGCATTCTCGGTTCCAGTAATCACTGATATTGGAGGTTGGGTGTTGCATATATATTTACTGCCTTAACTATTAAGCTTTCTATCGTCCTCTAGTTTCTCTGTTTTAAGAAAATCTCTTGCAAATTGTCATTTTCCAGATGAGGGAGAAAAGATGTATTGATATATAGGTATAATGATAAGTTATATGGAGTTAGTTGAATCTGTTGTCCAGCAGATTCCTACTTGATAGAAACATTCCATCCCCTTTAGAAGCCCCTTAAGAAACAAGTTAAACAATTCAAACTATATCAAGGAAGTCCACAAAACTGACAGCATTCATGAAGCCTCCCTCTCCACAAAAGAATACTAAGACAAGCACAGCTGAATGAAAGTAGGACCGACCATCCAATTAGACAAGAAAGATGCAGAAACCACCTTAACTCCCAACAGGAAATTCAAAACATTTGAGCCACCTGGAAAGGTGATTTTTCAACCTGAAGATTGTTCAGCGTGCTCCAGGTTGACAATGTTGGTGAGTGATCACACATGATGTGCTGGATTTAAGTGTTACAACTGAATCTCAGTCATTTTTTATCCCATTAGTAAACCCTTACCCATATTCTTATAGAAAACCACAATGAAACTCTTTTATTCACAAGTTAAACCTTGGAGATATTCATGCTCAA